GCAATTGATAACTGAAATACTGTTATTAGTTTGCTTTTCTTGGAGGGGATAACAGCATTACAATAATTTTCAAATATCTACAGGCCCAGAGCAACCTTAGTTACACAAAATTTGTGTTGGCCCTGACCACGTTTATTATTCCTTTCTCACTATTGTTTTTCCTTCTATTGTTTCCAAATACCCTTCCCCAATCACTGAATTAGACTGAGAAAAGATGGCAGTCTACACACTGAAGAAATGTACCTTACTGTGAAAATTAGGAAAAATAGGAGAAGAGGCAAAGGCCTTCACTATGTGACTCAGTGAAGATTTTTATAAATGCAGAAAAGGCATAAAGTAAACATTTGTACCTAGATCTACATACAATAATAGCTTCTGGTAAACATTACCACTGTCCGTTTATCTGGATTAAAAGTACAAACATATCCTTTCCCATGCAAATACTGAAAGTAGTACGTTGGGATCTTCCTGTATCCTCAGTGTCTGACATATTAGTAGACACTTAAATGTTTATGGATTGATTAATTGATGGAGGCCAAATCATAGTAATATGATCCTGGAGGAATGTACAGGGTCCTGGGGGAAGGTGATAATTATTGTAGAGGAAGCACTACCTTGATTGTTTATAGGCTACTGTGAATATTTTATGTGTTTTCTGTATTTTCTGTGGGGTGAAATTAAGGCTGTCCTGTATACCAGTGTTGTCAAACTCAAAAAATCAAAGAAACCAGGGCCACATAAGGATCCCTGGAGTCCTCATATTGACTTAGAAAGCCACACATTAACATTATGTTTAAATGTATTTTTATTTATTTTGTTAAATATTTCCCAATTACAATTTAATCTGATTCTAGTCTTATCTCAGGCTCAGTGTTTGAGACCTCTGTCAACTGAGCCTGGAGAGTCAGGAAGATCTGAGCTCTAATCTGGCCCCAGATACTTACTAACTGTGTGACCCTGGGCAAGTCACTTAACTGCTATTTGCCTCAATTCCTCATCTGTAAAATGAGGACACACTGGAGAAGGAAGTGGCAAACGACTTTAATATGTTTACCAAGAAAACTTCATGGACAAGTCCATAGGGCCATGAAGAGTCAGACGTTCTTGAACTGAATGACTCAACAATATGCAAAGAACTGTATTAAGTTCTGGAGAGACAAAGTCAAAGATAGTAGTGACTGTGTGGAGTGACTAGTAGCCCAGTTCAGTTCAGATGTACAGTTTGTGGAAGAGAGTCCAACATATCCAATACTATGTGTTTCTATATATCTATGGATGTATATAGATATATAGGTATACATGTATATGCATTCTAATATATAGATCATAGGTATATGTAATCCAAAATATGTTAATTTGTTATTAATTTTTGATTTTTTGCCATGAATGTGACAAACCTCTATGAACATAAATGTACACATGTGCAAAGAACATGTACAAATGGTACTGAATCTCTATTGCATACAGCTAACAACATCTGTCAAGTTATTTGTCTTTATTTCTGTAAGAACTGTTGTATAACTGTATTCCTATAATTCCTGTGTGTGCTTTGATAAATGGGCTCCCAAACATATTCTACCTTCTCTAATTATTTGAATGAACTTTCTTTATCTTTTTCTCCTGGATTTTATCAATAACATACAGGAGGGCTAATGATTTTTGTGGGCCTATTTTATATCCTATATCTTTACTGAAGTTTGTATCAATGAATTTTTAGTTAAATCTTTAGAATTCTCCAGGTAAACTCTAATTTGCATGAAGTGATAATTTTGTTTTTCTTTACATATGTTTATTCCCTCAATTTCTTTTTTCTTGTTTTGTTGCTGTAGCTAATATTTCTAGAACTATATCTAATAATAGAGGTGACAATAGATATCTTTGCTTTACCCTTGATCTTATTGAAAAGGCTTCTAGCATTTCTCTATCACGGATGATGCTAGCTCTTAGTTTTAGATACTTAGATGTTTATCATATTAAGGAAAATCTGTTCTTATGCTTTTTAAACATAAATGGGTATCATATTTTTGTGAATATTGATATAAAGTCATGTGATTTTGTTAGTATTATGGTCTATTATGTTTATAGTTTTCATTATATTTAAACAATTCTATATTTCTGGCATAAATCCCACTGGACAGAGTAAATAATCTGTTTTATATGTTGCTATAGTCTCTGTTAATATTTCATTCAACATTTTAGTATCATTATTCATTAGATATTGGTCTTTGTATCATAGAAGCCATTTGATGTAATACCTTTATTTTTGCAAACAATTTATATAGTATTGGAGTTGTTCTTTGAACATTTGATAAAATTTGCCTACAGATAATGTAGTGCTAGAGTTCTTTTTTTTTTTTCCCTTTGGGAGTTCCTTTATGTTTTGTTCAGGTTTTTTTTTTCTTCTGAGATTGAGATTCTGAAATTTTCTATTTCTTCTTATGTTAACCTGAGTACATTTGGGTAAATATTCATCTGTTTTATTTAAAGCATCAACATTGTTGATATAATTGGGCAAAATAATTTCTAATAATTTCTTTTATTTCCTTTTCATCAATTTTGCATTCTGTTTGTTCATTTCTTATTTTGGCAATTTGTCCCTTCTTTTTGGAGGACCAAATTATCTGATAGCCTGTTTATACATACATACACACATACATACATGCATACATACATACATATATACATACACACACATACATATATACACACATATATATATAAATTTTTAAGAGAAAAGACACATAGTTTTAGTTATAGATTCAATGTTTTTTAAATTTTAATCTCTTTTATTTTTAGAATTTCCATTTTTGGATTTAGTGAGATTTACTAAAAAAAGCAAAAAAAGTTTTATGTATTTATTATTTATTAATATGTTCTTTTTCTCACTTTTATTGATTAGTATTGATATGTTTGTCTCATCATTTTCTTTGATGAAATTTATTTTTTGCTCCTATGATTTGTTTTTTGATCCACATATTCCTTGGAATAATGTTATTTACTCTCCACTGAAGTTGGAATACTTTTTTCAAATACTATTTAATAATTATAATTTTTATTATATGGTGGTTAGTAAAGGATGAATTTAATATTTCTGAGTTTTTGCTTCTGCCTATGGTGGTTTTAATGCCATAGTACCATGGTGATTTTTCTGTAAAAATGAAAACATATATACAGTTGAGAAATATATATACTTCTTTTATTCTCCTTTAGCAATCACCAGGGATCTATCATATTTAAGCTTTCTATAATTCTATTCAGGTCCTAAACTGCTTTATTATTTGTCTAAGTCTGGATAAGATGTCTGGAGGTTTTCAGATGCTATGGTTTTGCAGCCTATTGCTGTGTGTAATTAATTTTCCCTTTAAGCACTTCTATGCAATGCCATTAAGGGCACATAACTTAAGATTTAATGTTATTTCATTTTCTAAGATGCCTTTAAAGCATAATGTAATTTTTTTATTGTTTATCTCCTTTTACCATATCTGTTTTCAGTGTTGCTTTTTCTGAGATCATGATTGTTACCTTTGCTTTTTTAAATTTACCTGAGGCCCAATGCATTCTCTTCTGACCCTTCATTTCAACTAAATTCCAAGTGTGTTTCTTGTAAATAGCACTACTGGATTCTGCTTTCTCATCCAATTCTGCTCCTCTCCTCTGTTTTATGCGTGAGTTCACCCCATTCACATTCAGTTATGATTGTTAATTGTATTCCCACTGAATTATATCCTCATGCTTTTTCCTCTTTTTGCCTTCTATCCTCCTGTTTACAGAGAAGAAAGTGATGAAAGATAAGGAATGAGATCAACACTAATAATCTAGAATTTAAATGTTCTGATTCTACTCCTCTGAATCGTTTCTTTTCCTAACCCAAACCCTGTTCATTTGCTTTCTTTCTTTTCTTTTACTTACCACTTAATGACCCACCCTCTGAGATTAAAATTTGTTTTTAACTAACCCTCCCCACCTTTCACTTTCCTTAAGCACAGTCCCTTTCAATTTTTAACTGTTGAATTTAATGTATTTCTATGCCAAACTCTTTATCTTTGTGTGTGTGTGTGTGTGTGTGTGTGTGTGTGTGTGTGTGTGTGTGTGTGTGTATATTTACCTGTATGTGGGAGGGAGGGTGGGGTATGTGTGGATGTGGGTATGGAAGTGTGTGTTTAACCCTCGGATGGTTCAGTGGCCTTGGCGCAGTCTCTGTCTCCTTCTCCTTTCAGAAGATGGATTCACCTCTTGTTGCCCTGACAGGCCCCAGTCAGATGTCAAGAGTACGTGCTATCCTCAGTCATTGCATCTGCCCCATGTTCCTCAATGACTCCAACAAATCTGTCAAACCTTTTCTCCCTGTATAGTGCGTGACTTTGGGGTTCTGGCTCTTTTCCCTGATCTCACTCCAACAGGCCTGGGCCTGGCTCTTTCTGGCTTCAAGTCTCATTGATGGGATCATTGATGGCATAAAGCCCCAGTCTGAGCTCCTGTAGACTCCAGACCCCATTTCCCTGAGTCCACTCTGGCTTCTACCTTTGGCATAGCCTTTCTTTGGGCACCAGCAGGCTCTGGCTACCTTCTTGTAGAGCCCAAGACTAGATGGAAGAGTTTAGCACTGTTTGTCTTTGGTCTTTTTGATCATTATTCCATCTGGTACCCTCTTAGATCTTTGCTGAGGTTTTTATGGGAGAGCTAGTCATCTCTAGAACCTTTCATGTTGCCATCTTAACCAGGGGTCTTGTGGGTTGTTTTTAAACGTTTAAGTTGACTTAGAGGGCCATAGCAGTTAAGCTTAATAAATTCTTATGGACATGATGGTCTGTCCTGGAAATTAATATATCAATTGTAATGATGTCACTCAACAGAAAGTGGAATTTGAGTCCTTTCAAGTATTTCATGGTGTTTTCTTGAGTTGTTAGGCATGTGACCAAAGGATAACTTTTTAGATTTTGATCTGAAGCAAATTGCTGTGTAATCTTTTATCTGATGTCAATTCTCTATTCTCATTTTAGTTAACCCTCCAAATCACTCTTCGGTGCAACAGTGAGAAGCATTATGAGCATGAAGGAAGGTGCTGCACCAAATGCGATCCAGGTATATTATTCATTTATTCTGTCATTTTCCCTAAAGATAATTGCTTTTATCTAAGGAATTATTACAGTATTTCTGTGCTATTCTAAAATCTCCCTTTCCTTGGATAAACAATACTACCATCAAGTTGCAATATCTGTAATTGTCCTCTCGAATAAACCACAGGAAGGCAAAATTTAAAAAAAAATTATTTATAGCTCCACAACTACCTCGAAAAAAAGGAAAAGAAATTTTTAGAATTCCTTTACTTAATCCTTGCTGGAACCCAATTTTTAACAAATAAAGTCTCTCAAGGAGGGAAGCAAGTTTATAACCCTTCTTATTTTCCCCTTAATAACCTCACAATTCAAATGCTCAAAGTGTAAAATAATAACAAATAGACATAGAACTGCTACTAGATACTGCTATCACCTTGATATTTTCCTCCTTGGACATATTGACACTGGGATTGTCAACTACTTGGAATGCCTCTGAAGACTCTATACCTTCTTCCATATCACTGCTGAGAGCCAAAAGCTGTATCAGGTTACTACTTTTCAAAGTCATGTTAGAAATGTGACTGTGAATTTTCATGTCATGTATGCATTCCTAGATCTATGTCTGCTTCTCTCCTCCCTGCCATTCATTTGCACTGTCTGAATGTTCCATACTCAGACCCTGTTAAGTGCATTTCATCTCCTAAAGACTAAATGAGACACAATGTGTTATGGTGGACTGAGTAAAATATTCCCTGGCTAGAACCCAATAAGACTTGAGCTAACATACTTCCTCTGACACTTGCCAGTTCTGTGATAATGGGCATATCTCCCATCATCTTAGTGTCCAAAAACTCTGGAAGTCTAGAAGTTAGAAACAAGATCATTGATGTAAGTAAATTTCACATTGGAAGTTCCTTCCACTAATAACACAGATCTGGACTTCCCAACCCCCCTCCAAAAAAAAAGATTAAATAAAAATGAGTAAAATTGGGGATAGTCAATAAGATTTTTTAAATGCCTACTTTAGGAGACACAGGTGATGGTCCACCTCAAATACACTAGAGCATAATTTTAAGTGAAATTGTCCTTGGGGTTTGAGTGTGGCAGGTGATTCCACCTCGTAACATTGTCTTTTAAGTATTTCACTAACAAAACCCTCTTTGATGGACATCTAAAATTTTACCAAATTTTGTTGTGTGGCAGATAGTGTTATCACAGTGTGCTAGTACAAAAGACTTTCTTCTTAACCCAAAAGAACTTGAGAATGGTTGAGATTACACTCAGAATGATGGGCTGAGACAGGAATCAGCTGTTCATTGGTACACGAATGCAGCTTCACCATTACACAGTCTGGGTGTCATAGCCACCAGTTACAGTCCCTTGTCAAGTATGTCTTCGTTCTACTGTCAGGTTGTTTCAACTAATTAATAGTCTCTATCAGGCTTGAAGAAAAACCTTTCCTGTGATGCATCTTGGGGCTTTGTTGATAATCTCATGGGTTTTAGATTTTTTTTTCTTTTTAAGGAAAGTATATGTCTGCGAAATGCACTGCAACCTCTGAAAGCATATGTTTACCTTGTGGCCCAGATGAATACATACATACCTGGAATGAAGAAGATAAGTGTTTGCTGCATAAAGTTTGTGATAGTGGTGAGTCGATCTGCACATCCTATGAAGTGCAACATTCAGCTTTTGCCCCCAAAATGATCTTTTCAGGATATATTTTATTCCTGGAATCTATCAGAATAATTTCTTTCACATGTTGGTAGATGTGTTGCTGGTTTTTTTAGTGTTAATGAATTGTTCCTGTGGGTGACCAGAGATCTCATTTGGAGTCAACATCAGGAAACTACATTGTATTTATTTCTTGTGATGGGAAAGTTTAGTCCTGGAAATTTAGCTTAGGTTTATTCTCATTGATTCTGAAAAGATATTTATGTCTCCACCTATCTCCCAGTTTCTTTTAAAGGGTTAAAGACTATTAAAAGCTAAAACATCCAAAACTATGTGATTACCTCAATAGATGCAGAAAAAGCCTTGAACAAAGTATAATACTCATTTACGTTAAAAATCTCTACAAAATAAAGGCATGAGTGAATTTTCTTTAATATCAAAAAAGCATCTCTCTAAAGGGTTAGAGAGAGCTTATAGGTTTTGGCTGAGAAAATATGAATATGGAAACTTCACCTCGTGTGAAAGCACCTGATTTAATTTTTTTTTTTATTCCTCACTGTCTAGTAATGACCCTGACTCATTGCCATCTTCTGGAAAATAAAGATTCATTCAGTTCATCACCAAAATTAATTGAAACAAATCATAATAATAGCTAGCATTTGTACAGTGATTTATAGTTTGCAAGCTTACAAATACCAAGATAATTCACCACTAGTTCACTTCAACAAACTTTTAATGAAAGCTCCTAAGAGGCAGGAAATGTTACATTTTGTCTTTGTATCTTAAGCCTTTATCAAAATACATTTAATAAATGCTACTGAGTGCTATGCCATGCCTTGGGGGAAATATAAATTTTATGTGACACACAGCCCCTGCTCTCATGGAGTTACAATCTAGTAGGGTCTTATGACATAAGTACAGATACACAATTGCACGTTATATTTGCATTAGAGAAAAGCAAAACAAAATTCTATTTAAGGTCCTGCAAGATCAAGGGAATTCACAGAGGGGATCAGGGTAAGGTTCAGGGAGAAGATGGTACTTGTCTTGGGCTTTAAAGTATAGGTAGGAATTCAGCAGCTAAAAGTTAGTGGGAGGGAGAACATTCTAAATACTGGGTACAGAGTGAGCAAAGGCAAAAAGGTGGGAAATAACACGGCATATTTGAGGGACAGAGGGCACTCCAGTTTGGGAGAATAGTAATATGAGAGTAGTCTGGAAAGGTAGAGTAGTGCCAGATTATAGAGGGCTTTGAATGTCAGGGGAAAGAGTTTGAACTGTACTTAGTAGGAAATGGAAACCCTGAAGATTTGGAGCAGAGAGTAACATGACCAGATCCTAATATATAATTAGGAGATCTATTTTCACAGGGGTAAGAGGATTGACTGGAAGGTAGAGATGGAAAGACCTGTTGTTATGCTATTGCTATATGAATCATGCAGGTGATAATCAGGGCTTGAACTAAGGTGATAGCTCTGATATTAGTTTCGTATTTCCAGAGATGGGAAGGTATAGGTGTGAGCAGAATTGGAATTAACAATGTTTGATGAAAGAGTCATAGATAATACCAGTGTTTTGAGAATGATGGTGTAACCGATCAAAATAATGGAGTCAGAAGGATAAGGAAGGAAGGAAACAGGCATTTATCAAGTGCTTACTCTGTGCCAGGCACTGTATGAAGCTCTTTAGTAATATTATCTCATTTGATACCCACAACAACCATGAGAAGTAGATGCTATTATAGTCCCCACTTTACAAATGAGGAATCTGAGAGAAGCAAAGGTTAAATGACTTGCCCAGGATTACACAGCTAGTAAGTGTTTAAGTCTGGATTTGAACTCATGTCTTCCTGACTCTAGGTCCAACACTTTATTTACTGTTCCACCTGGTTGCCTCTGAGAGGCAAATTTAGGAAGGAATGTAAGCTTACTTTTTTTTTGTTAACGACACAAAGTTTAAATATTCAAGAGATATTCAAGAGGAAAAGCCCTTTAGGGTACTTGGAGATACAGGTTGGAACTGAACCCAATAAGACTATAATGATTTTTGGGCAGAGAATTGAATGGGACAGTGTTGACAGTCAGGAATTGAAGAATACTATGTAGTGATGGTAGCCCTGATTTGAAAAATGATACTGATGTTAGCCTGCATGGTCTAAATGAGTAAGCAAGCTAACAATGTGACATGGCCACCAAAAACACTGATGCAAAACTTAGACCACATTAACAAAAACATAATGTCCAGAAATAAGTAAGTAAACAAAAATGCCCTCTGCCCTTTGCCCTGGGAAGACCGTAGCTGTAGCTGTTGTTTGTCTCTGGATCCATGTTGTTGAAAGGACATTGAGAGAGCATCCAGGAAAGGTCGCCACGGTGAAGCAAGGTTATATGATCAAATCTTTTGAGAATTCTTTAAAGGAAATGGGATGTTTAGCCTGAAGGAGAGAAGACCGAAGATAGACATGATAGTTTTCTTCAAGTATTTGAAGGCCTTCCTGTGGAAGGATATGAATTAGTCTGCGTGATGCAATAGGAAAGAACTAAAAGCAATGGGTAAAATTTTCAAGCAAGCAAATTTAAGCTTCAATATAAGAAAAAGAAACTCTAATACTTAGAGCTAGGTTTCCCCTGAAGGTGTGCAGGCAAAGACTAGATGACCATTTGTCCAGTGTGTTAAAGAGGCCATTCTTGTTCAAGCATGGGTTGGACCAAATCATAGATCATACTTTTTTTTTAAGTTGGAAAGGATCTTCTAGGTCATCTAGTCCAACCTCCTCATCTTACAGATGAGGTAAAGTGACTAGGTCCACTAGAAAATTATGTTATAACACCTCAATTGGGCCCTCACTGCTGCTAGGTAATTTTACTATACCTCCCTTATTAACCCACTATCCCACTTTCCAGAGGCTCTTCCAAACCTTTTCATCCCTCTTCAAACTTCCCGTGGCTTCTCCTCCCCCCACCCACTAAGCTGAGGACCTTGCCTCATATTTCACAGAAAAATTGAGGCCATTCACCATGAACTCCCTCTTCTCCCCTCTTCCTCATCTCCTGTCACTCAGAAGCCTTCTGCCATTATCTCCTCCTTCACCCCTGTCTCAAATGCCCTTTCTCCTTACCAAGGCTAACCTCTCTACCTGTCCAAATGATCTCATTCCATCCCATCTCCTCCAGCAGTTTGTCCCCTGTCATCCCCACTCTTTCATTTGTTTTCAGTCTCTTCCTCTCCACTGTTTTCGTTTTCTACTGCCTGCCAACATGCTCATGTTTCCCCCATCCTGAAAAAAAAACCCTCACTTGATCCTTTATCCCTGCTAGTTATCATCCTATTTCTCTTTGGCCCTTTGTACCTAAACTCCTCATAAAAGGCTGTCTACAATAAGTGCCTCCACTTTCTCTCCTCTCACTCTCTTCAATAATCTGGCTTCCAACCTTATCATTCAACCAAAATTCCTTATCATCCTTCCAAAGTTACTAATGATCTCTTAGTTGCTAAATCCAATGGTCTGTTCTCAGATGTTATTCTCCTTGACCTCTCTGTAGCCTCTGACACTGTTGATCACTCTCTTCTTCCTGATACTTTCTTCTTTCCAGATTTTCAGGACATCACTCTTTTCTGATTTTCCTCCCACCCATCTGACCACTCCTTTGTTTCCCCCGGATCCTCCTCCAGATGACATCTTTAACTATAGGTGTCACTTAGGCTTCTGTCCTGGGCTTTCTTCTTTTTTCTCTCTATACTACTTCATTTGGTGATCTTATCAGATCCCATGAATTTAATTAGTTACCATGTTAATGATTTTCAAATCTATCTTTCCTGCCCCAATCTCTCTGCTTATCTCCAATTTCACATCTCCAGCTGCCTTTCAGACATCTTGAACTGGATGTCCAGTAGACACCTTAAAGTTGATATGTCCAAAATAGAATTCATTATCTTTCCTTATTAACCCTCTCCCTGCCTTTCTACCTAGCTTATGATCAGAGTGTTTTTAGGATTTTTTTAAGGCAATTGGGGTTAAGTGACTTGCCCAGGGTCACACAGCAATAGTGTCAAGTGTTTGGTCTGAGGCTGGATTTGAAGTCAGGTCCTCCTAACTCCAGGGCCAGTGCTCTATCCACTGTGCCACCTAGCTGTCCCCCTTCTACCTAACTTATTAACTGTAGAGGGCAACATTATCTTACCATTCCCTCAGACTCACAGCCTAGGAGTCATTCTGAACTCCTCACTACCTCTCACTCCCCATATCCTATATGTTGTCAGGGTCTGTCAATTTCACCTTTGTAGCATCTCTCAAATATACCCCCTTCTGTCCTCTGACACTGCTGCCACCCTGGTTCAAGCCCTCATCACATCATGCCTGGACTACTGCAATAGATGCTAGTGGGTCTGCCTGCCTAAAGTCTTTCCCCACTCCAATCCAGCCTCCATTCAGCCTCACTTAATCACTAAAGTGGTTTTCCTAAAACACAGTTCCAATCATGTCACCCACACACAATAAACTCTAGTGGCTTCCTACTGCCTCCAGGAACATATACAAAATGTTCTTGGCATTCAAAGCCCTTCAAAACCTAGCCCCCTCCTACCTTTCCAGTCTTCTTACTCCTTACTACCCAGTATGCACTCTTTCATTCAGTGACATTGGCCTGTAGGCTGTTCCATGAACAAAACATTCCCATCTTTCTGACTGTGAGCATTTTCTCTGGCTGTTCCCATGCCTGGAACACTCTCCCTCCTCCACTCTGACTACTGACCTCCCTGGCTTCCTTTACGTCCCAACTAAATTCCTACTTTCTACAGAAAGCAATCCCTAACCCCTCTTAATTCCCGTGCTTCCTTTCTTTTAATTATTTCCTATTTATCCTGCTTTGTCTATAATTGTTTACATGTTATCTTCCCCCATTAGATTGTAAGCTCCTTGGAGAGAAGGATTATCTTTTATCTCTTTTGTATCCCCAGCACTTAGCAAATGCCTGGAA